AAAGGTCCTTAGGACCACTTTCACTGAATTGTGAGTTGTTTGTTGCAGTACTGTTTTTGATGTTATTGTAATTCAGGACTGCTAGTAAATATTTTTTCTCGAGGTTTGCACCTCTTTTAGGTCAAGTTTACTGTTTAGAACAAGTTTACTTAATGGTTCAAGGTCGATTTACTTAGTAGTTATTGCTCTATGTTCGATATAAATTTTTCTTCTTTTGTTCAATTTTGGTAAAGTGATCTATGGAAAAGAGTTTTAATATATTAAGATTTTACTTTAAAGTTATTAAATAATTTCAAGTAGTTAATTATATTCTGAAATTATCTTATAATGTAAATATATGTATAATTTTGATTTTAATTTTAATTTGTTACATCTTTATTGCAAATTGTATATAAATGAAATTTTGACTACATTTGTTGGTTTGCTAACAAAAAAAATAAAAAATAAATTTAAAAATAAGTGAATAAAATAAATATAAGTTAAAAAATAAATTTAAATTATAAAAAAATTATAAAAAATTAACGAGAAATTTTATTTTATTTGAAATTATTTAATACATTACTTAAATATATGACTAATACTATATCTTATCAGTCTTTAAACCTAGATGAAAGCAGAAATTTTTAAAATATAAAAAAGTTAAAAAGAATAAATATTAAATTTAAAACCATTAAGTTAATCAAAAAATAAATAAATTAAAAAATAGGCTAAAAGATCTATAAGCAAAATTCATATATATAAATAATTTGAATTTTATAAATAAAAAATAAAAAAGTAAAGACTTTTGGGCATGCCAATATTCTATTTTATCTAAGTCTATATAGCTGATTCTATTTGAAAAATTACTTACTTTGCAACTTCTTTTACAGATAACTTTCTTAATAGTGACCTGAAAATCCTTGTGAATAATTCTATAAGTGGTTTATAGTATTTAAGAAACAACTCAATTACTATATTGGGTTATTATATTCATTATACCAATCCTACTGTAATTATCAAAAATCATAATTTGGCTAATACATCATTAGTGTCATGGGACCATCAATATAAATTAATATTTTTCATAGCTTAATTTAATAAGAGCATTCACAGAAACATTTTTTATGACTTTACTTTGTTTGCTTTTACCATTCTTTTTAATATTTTCATGAAATGTAGAATGTCGTTTTATAATTTTTAACATTTGCATCAACATCTAAATATGAGTTGTCGAAGGAATCGACTGAAACCAATTTTGATTTAGGATTTTGAACCAATTCAGATAAATTCCAAGTTTATGATCTTTCTCAAATGCACCAATTTCGAGAATGTTAATTTTTTCAGTTTTAAGAAAAGATAAATACTTTTCCTAATTATGTTAAATAATTATAGGTAAATGTAAATTTTCGATTTTCTTTCTACATTTTTTTTATGATTCATTGTGGCAAGATTAGGAATGTATTACAAATATAAATGAAAAAGATAATTAAGGGATATACTTGAATATGATGCAGGAAAAATATTTTTGTGCAAATTATATTCTGTACTAATGAACTAAAAATCAAAAAACTTTTCTGTAACATATCATAAAACAACCAAAATAGGAATGAGCAGCTATGTATATATGTTATATGTCATTTCACAATTCCTATTAATTTCAAAATAATATATATTATTTTAAAATTGCAATTTAACATACATCATATGACAATCAGTAGAACAATACCAATTATATAAAAAAAAATTAAATATTTGAAAATAAGCAAATTACGAAAAATAAACAAATTACACAAATATTCGAAATAATCAATTAATTGCATAAATATTTAAAAAAAAATCAATTGTGTAAATATCGAAGTTACATATTATCAAAGATCATATTTACTGCAACTAACGATTATTATATTCACCTCTCAATACACAACTGTAGCATCTAGTACAAAGTGCTTTGTTTTTGCAACATGAACAACTTTTGGTTTTGCAGTTGGTTCTGCTACAATTACAACTATTACTTTTGTTAAATTTATTTGGTTTCACTTGTATTGAACGTGTTAAGTTTTGTTGAGCTGCAGCATTTCATAAGAAATAAAATTACCAAGTGAAATATTATCAAATGTTGGATATTTATTTATGCCCAATGGTTCTAATTCACTTGCTGGATACCATGTGTCTAAAATACCGAATTTACATCCAACTTAATAGGAATCACAATTGGGTCTTTTTGAATAATTTTGCAAAGCAACGAATGTCTATTCATTTTTAGCTTGTTAATATCTGGAACATGAATTTTTACAAGATCCTCTAAATTTAAAATTTATATATTTTTAGTTTATAATATTGCTTTATAATACTATTACTAAAAATAATTGTTGTGTCTAATATTAAAATTTGATTATATTTTAATATAAAGTTTTAAAAAATTTTTTAGAGTGTTTTTTTCCTACTTTTTTTTATAATTATGTTGGCATTTAGGATTAGAATTGATAATCAAAGAGTATATATGAATTTTAGATACATTTATATTTCAAATTATAATTTCAAATTTCAGTATCAGCCATGACAAAATTTACAAATTACCTGGATTTAAAGTTAAAGTATGTTTTGTTTTGTGCCATTTTTCTATAATACTTTAAATAAATTGATAATTTTTTTTAACTTGCTATATTGCTGAATCATGTAATTTTTTATGATTATCAAAGCTTGCACAAGATTGATTTTCTATTGACAGGAGGCTTTCTTGGTCTGAATCTTCGATTAATGTATAAGAACAACTTGCTAAGATGATTCTTCTGATAATGCATTAGAACTTTCTTGAGATGATCCTTCTGATAATATATTGAAACTTTCTTGAGGTGATCTTTCTGATAATAAATGAGAACCTTCTTGAGTTAAGTTTTCACTAATTGTATCAACTTGAAATAAATCTTCAGATATTTTATAGTCATCTTGAGACATTTTATCCAATAATATGTCATAATTAAAATTTTCATCTTCAGAGTTTATAGAATCGAACTGATATAATGAATGCTATTAAAAAAATATATATAAATAATAAATTAATAGAACAATTAAATATAATAATTAATTATAATAATAAATAATAAAAAATTAAATTTATTTGCATTATTGTTATTATTATCTATATTAGAATCTGATTCATGGCATTTTTCTTTTTTATTCCAAGAGTTTTTTGTAATGTAATAAATTTATCATCAATAATACTGTTATTTCGTGAAATAATCATTTCATTTTCATTTATTATTTTGTTCTTAGATTCGAGACTGCTATTAAATTTGAGACTACTATCGCTGTCATCAATTATAATTATTTCAGCATCATTTTCTATTAGAATTAAATTATTAAAAAAACAATATAAATTAACAAAATAAAATATATATATAATAAATAAATAAATAAATAAATAAATAATCAAATAATGATAATAGGAGTTTTATAATTAATAAATAGATATGTAATGCATTTTGAAAATAAGGACTTTTTTAATAGTATTTTTTATGTTAAATTATAAATCTTACATTGGTCTCTTAAAAATTGATTTTCATTATCATTATCACTATTATCCAAATAGGCTTGATCAAATAATAATGTTTGATTTTCTAATGGAATATTTTTTTCACAAACAATATTTTGTCAATAAAGCATCAATATCATTTGTAAGTCTGCTTCAGGTTGTTGTCCAAATACAAGTTGATATGGTGTCGATTTTGTTGCTTTACAAACTTGGTTGTTCATTGCACCTATGGTATTAATTTAATTTTAATTAATAATTAGAGTTCTAAAAGTGCCAACATATATTCTATTAAAGTATAATGCCCATGTCTAGTAATAGAACTAAAGGGCTTAGAAATTAAAATTTCAATACTATAATTTATTAAAAAAAAGTTGATTCTTAATAAATTATTAAATACGATAATTAAGTATTACCTATTTTTAACTTCTATAGTCCTATCACTCCTACACCTGTGCTTAATATTATATTTAATAGAATATCGATATGCATATAAATGAATTTAAGCCTTATATAAAAGTTACAGATTATAAATGGCAGTCCAATGCTTCAGTCTTTGCATTTAGTTTCTTTCATCCAAGATCCAAGTTTTGTCTGAAGAATATTATTTGCCTTCTTAATAAAACCTTGATACTGAGGATACCTTGGTTTACTATGTATAATTATAACGATGGCCAAAGTTTCATTGTTCTAGTTACAATGTCACCAATAAACTCTTCACCATTATCAGAATACAAGATTAATAGTAGTCCATATGTTAAACAAAAACATAAAAGAAAACTAGCTGCTTCTTCAGCAGATTTTGATATCGCAGATTTTGTAGCTGAAAACCTTGTAAAATAGACTCAGATATGGATAATATATTTAAATTCCTTATCTGATATTGCTGTCATATTTACTGTATCAATCTTAAAATATATCGATATTATTAATTTAAATTATATATACATATACAATTTATAAAATTAATTTATATATATATATTTAAATAAAATTAAATTATAAATAAATATGGAATCTTACTTGAACGTGAGCAAGAAATTTCTCTGCAATTATAGGCTTAATGGGAGGCATACATTTTGTTGCACATCTTGTAACACATATATTACACTGTTTTACAGCATTTTCTACAATTGTTTGAGGTATAAAACAGTATCTTTGATGAATCTATTTATACATATGTAAATATATATTATTTAACTTATAAAAAATTATAATAAATAGTATATTTAAAAAATTTACTTTTAGCTATGTTTTTTCTTGCCTGCCATGCTTTGTATCCTGATGAGTCTGACAAATTACAATATAAAAGTTTCTATGGGACAAACTTATGTACCATAATTATTATTTTCAAATTTGAGATTAAGTTCTTTAATAGCTCCAACTTTAATTAGTTTAAACGTATGAAGAACCCAGTATTTAAAGTTTGCATTTTCATAATTACTTCTAGGATTTCACAAAAGTGTTATGCAATGGTTATATTTTTAGTGATTTATTATATGTCTTTCATTTATATGATTATTCATATAATCACTAACAATTTGTTCAAACATTTCAGATGATAAAAATAAAAAAATTGTTGAATTATTGAAAGCTATATTGATGTGAAAAAAAAAGGAATAATAAAAATTATTAAGATTTTATTTAAAGTCTTTTTAAAAGAAACTTTATTACATATTATATAAAAACTTTATTACAAATTATATAAAAACTTTATTATGCATTGTATTGTACGATTAAATTTGGGTGAAGTAAAAAAAACTTTATTACGTATCATATTGTATGATTAAATTTAAGCTCAGTAAAATTGACATATGTTTTTTTTTTTTTTTTAAATATTAACGGTGAGGCCATGCCTTTAACTTTATTGAAATTCAATTGAAGTTTTTACA